GATACAGCTAAAGCCATGTCTAATGCCTCGTGAACTCTAGATCTCTCATAAACATGCCATTTCATTTGGGGGGCAAAACAGACATAAGAAATGGGGCAAGGCTCATGTCAGCTAAGAAAATACAGTTGACTCGTGTCAACTATGAAAACATGGATGACCAAGCAGCGGTTGTATCATCTACCAAGTGCGATACAGACAAGGCGGGCACTTAGCAAAGAATGAATTATTAACTGTGCAAACCACTGCTACTCTGTGAAAGCTAAAACGAGATAACAAAAGGCTGCAGTGCAGAAAGTAAGGACGGCACACCAACTCACCTTTAGCCAGTGACTCATTGGGGAGGTGCCTCTAACTGTGACTGACACATTGTTTCAGTCGCTGAGTAGTGGAATGAAACAGCAGCACGGGTTTGCTCTCGTCACACGTTCAATGCCGCAGAAAATGTAACTGGAATTCGGGTGAAAGGGGCCAGATGTCACACCCTGATAGTTTCAGTTCTAACCAAACACGAGTCGTCTGCATTGTCGAAGTGATCTAGGACACAGTGAACTACGTCGACGTTTCTGTCGGTGCATTGCAACATTCCTGTCCTGAGACATACTTGGAATTCTTTACTGAGGTTCATTTTAATGAATTATGTGAAACTTGAATTGTGCCGATACAGCTAGTGAGACATGTCTTTGATGACTCCTGGACACCCAAAATATTTCTAAACTGGGAAGGGGAGGATTAGGCAGTGAAAATGTTACAAAGAAACAAGGTGTCAAAAACCAAGTTCCCCACTGACTCCACATAACATTGAGGCAACCTGCAAAAGAGAAAAATAGAAACAATCCATTGTTTTCTCAGTATTATAGAGAAAAACACATACTCTAATGAGTTTTTTTTAACTTAATTGGTTGGTGGTTTGGACATCATAGATAAACAGAGACATTTATGTATCCACATTTCCTAACCTTTCAGCCAGTAGAGAGCTGTTGCCCCCTCCACCCCATTTCAGATCCTCATTGTAGCCTATAAATTGCGCAATGCCAATGGCCACGATGCATTAAGTAACTGTTTTTGTACCTAGAAGAACAAAATCTGATTTTCAAAGCATTTCAGCCTATTTCTCAAGTGCTTAAATTCTGTTGTTTAATCAAGATTGAGTATGTACATTTGAAATCTTCATATTCCCTTTGCAAAACACCTAACTCCAAAAAAGTTTGACATTCAATTTTTAAGGCAAAAAAATATAAGCTCCTCAGCTCACGACTTCCAAATTCTCCACGTGTGACCTCATTCCACCTCTCCACATTCTCTTTCCAGGGACTGAAATTTAACCAGGTTCATTCTGGTCTCAAACAACCATTTCATATGATTTCAGATGCCTTCTTGGGAGCTAAATTCAACCATTTGCTAAACTCTAATATTTTCAATTTACAAACTTCAGAAGGAAGATAGCTTTTGAAGCTGACAAAAAAAAAAAACAACCACAGAACAGCGGTCTTTTTGTGCGTGGTCCAGAAAGTCAGTTACAAAGCAGTCCTATTGTGCTTCTCATAATTTACATTTACTTTTTTGGCAGAGCAGAAAGGAAAAAAATAAGAAGTCAAATTCGGAGGCATACAACAAAAATGAAAGAAGGCATTTTTATTTTAAAATGTCCCTTTGACATTTAGACACCTACAAACCCAGTTATTCCTCCTTTACAGGAGATGGGACAGTAAAAGGAAGAGCAGCTGTTTCACTGTGGTGTCTCGGAGCACGTGTGGCTCCGTTTCCTGCCGCGGAAATCGGACGGATCCCTTGCTGATTCGTGGGAGGCCCATACAGAGTCGACACTGGCTGGGTCTCATCTCTTCAGACCAGCCAGCAAAGCCCTGAGGCCAACGAGAGTCCCGATGACCGATCGGTGCGGACTCAGAGCAGACATTCTCCCAAACAGATCGATACTATCCAAGGTGCAGCTGAAAAACAGGATGAGCTTGTATCACTGAACAAATACCACGCTGCTTATTCACAAGGGTAAGAGCAACACAGCACCTGTGTTTTCCACAGTGTGCTTGCCAGTGACCTCGACCCTGACCCGCAGGGCCACCCTCCAGGGCCAGAAGTAATCCTCTGTCAGGTCTGCCTCTGACCCTGGAGCACACCAAGAGTGACGGCATTTGCTACGACGACAGCTACTGTGTCTGCTTTGGCCGATATCACCACACGGTGCCCATGCACTGCCGTCAGGTTCGTCGGTGGCGGGTCTGAGGACACGGCCTCACGGAGACAAAGTGTAAAGGAGAAACAGAATTTCTACCCTCTACCCATCACCCTGCGATTGTGTGGCACTCCTGGATTAAATTAACTCAGAAATTTCTTATGACACCAGTTTTTTTATATACATAAACTAAAGTCATTATGTGGATAAACCAAATACATTTGCTTAAACATCCAGGTAAATATTTTTGATTGACCGCCAAAATTCCATTTTTCGCTTAGTCACACGGATCCTCCCCTCACCCCTGCAAAAAAAAAAAGTCACTTTGTACGTATCTGTGTGCTTTTCTATTACCCTGTTGTGTGTGCAGGTCAATGAACCAGAGTTGGATCTAACAAGAGGACGGGAGCAGCATCGCCATCATCATCGCTATAACGTCCCCAAATATGAGGAAACTATAGTCTGTAAAACAATCTTTCCAAAAGTATGGAGAAAATGAGCTATGGATTAAAACGTGACCCTGCATCCCACTGGGCCAGATGACTTCATGTATCACCCAGCAGGAGTCAAATTCTAGTGTTTTGAGTGGTCTAGGGCCAAAAACTCATGCGAATTAGGGTTTCCCAGCTTCCAGAAGCTACGGGAGACTCAGAGCCAATAGACCTGTTTAAACAAGGGCCAAATATAAAATCATATCATTTCATCTGTGTCTTGAAAGTGTTTAATGACCATTTTAATGGTAGCACTGCCATACGTCCAACCATCTACCGTTTAAGATCTTTTGAGTATTTAGAATTTTTAATACATTGTCCAACCATAGATACACACGGTTTGATAAACCCGGCTGCTATTAAAAGACAAATTTGTGTTGAAAAAAAAAGTCAAGTGACAATCATTGTTGGTCTTTCCCTTTTCTTCAACTAAGTTTTCCTGGGTGGGTGGGAGGAGGGGACTTGAAGGGGGGAAAACAAAGTTTCCCTCCAGCGTATTACTTTATAAGCACTGTGTCCATCTCCCCGAATAAAGGAGAAATAAATTCAGCTTTGGCACTCTGCCACTGAGTGGCGGCTCCTGCAAAGGGGACGGTCTGCTATTAATCGTTAATGTCGTCTGCCATTAGAGGGCACTAAACAACTCCGCATTCGTGCCGCCGCAGAGGGAAGAGACCGGAGGACAGAAAAGAAAGAGGGAGGGAGGGAGGGGACGCGGGCAGAGTCGGGGACGCGGGAGCCAAGGGGAGCCCGGGCGCAGGGGTGGGCGGACGCGAGGGGGCGAGGGGCGAGAGAAGGAGTCGCCGCGCAGAGATGAAGGAGGATGCGGAGTCCCAGAACCGTCTGAAGGGAGCAGAGAGCCCCCGCCCCCGCCCCGAGCCGCCGCGCCCCTCCCCTCGCGTCCCGGGGACCGTAATTATAAAGCGAAACGCGGCGGCGAGGTGGCCGGATTTTACCAGCCTGCCGCGGCGAGCGCGCGCGGTGCAGGTGCGGCGGCCGCGGGGCTTTGTGACTCATGCCCGCGTTCGGAGGGGGGCTGGGGCCCGTCTGAGACGCACCCAAACAACTGTCTTCTAATATTAGCACGGCTGTATTTCGGGATCTATTATAGTCTGTCCAGACAGATTCCCATTGTAATGGGATCTTTTATTAAAAGATTAGCACTATGTCCTGCAGTTGGTGGAAAAAAATCTGTTATCGCTGAGTTATTTGCAGTTGTGGAGAGGGCAGGAGGGGGTGGCAGATGGGGGGAGGGCGAGAGGAGAAGCGGGGGGCGGTCTGGCGGGGGAGGCTGGGGAGGAAGGGGCGGATGTGAAGCCCGAAGGAGAAAATCCCAGCGACCTGCGAATGTCCAAGAATTTTGTCTGCATACTTCCTCGTCCGTTGTCCTCGGGCATCCAGAAGAATGGAAATTTAAAAGGCAGCTTTGGAATAAACAATATAGCATTTTCCGTGAAGTAATCGTTTTGTATAAAAGGAAATATCGCCTCCTCAGTTTCATTCAGCGGTGCCAAAAATGTTATAAATGAGAGACCCACCAACTTTCGGCGAAGAATGCCTGGCACTGTGCTTAATAAACTGAGGCTACAGAAGTTCATTATCGATGTTGCAATCTCTCTATTCCGCGAACCGAAAGCGACAGAGACAGAGAAGGAGAGAGGCAGACACTCTCAGGACAGAAACTGGGGAGCCTCGAAGCGGGGGAGGGGCAGACCGCCTACGTCGGCGCCCCAGCTCCGCGCTGCGACTCCAGACGCGGCGAAGTGAAAGGGGAGAAAAGAAAGGGCGAGGGCGACACAGCGACGGGGGAGGCCGAGACCGAGGTGTTAAAACAGTTTTGTTTGCCTCTGACTCGTGGAGACCGAGGGCCGCGTCTGGGCCCCGCTCGGCCCGGGTGGAAGGGCCGGGGCCGGAGTTCTCGGCGGAACACTGGGCTGGGGGCGGCTGCGAACTGAGGCACGCACAGACCCAGACACAAAACCTCCCCTGTCCCGCGCCCAGGCTGCGGGGGCCTGAGATCCAGCACGCCCCGACCCGTGCGCGGGCGGCAAGAGAAGCCTCTCAAGGCTCTCGGGCGTTTGCAAAATCTTCCTGGAGTGGAGCAGCGGTGCGCACACAAACTCTGCCCCCCCGCCCCCGGCGCGTCCCTACGGCGCGCGCGCGCGCGCGAGCACAGATACAATCACACACACTCACACTCGCCACCCCGCGCGCGCCGGCGCTGCCTGAGAGCGGCGGCGTGCAGGGCTAGAAGTGGGTGTTCTTCCCCACTCCCCACCCCCCTCCCGGCCGCCTCCCCCCTCCCTCTCGCTCCTACGCAATAAGAACTCGGCGATTCCCCTCCTGCCGCTTTGATTTCGGGCACCTCCAGCAGATAATTGGGAAGGGTTTCCAGAAGGTGGGAAATGTCACCTGATTCACACTGAACTTTTAAAAGCTCCCCACCCCCAAGGAGCCGCGCACACCCGCGCTAGCGGCCGCCCTCCCGCTGCCCCACACCCTGGGAGACCGCCCACCGCACACCGCGGAGACCCCCGTCCAGATTTAAAGCGCGGCTGCGCCCGGCTCCTGACGTCCATTGAATCGCGCGGCGGCCGGCGGCGAGCGCAGGGCTGCGCCGGGATCTCTGCGCCCTCCGCCGCCCGCCTCTGCGCCCTCCAGGGCCACAGCCGCTCCTCTCCCCGCGCCTGCCCCAGGATGGGCCGCTCCCGGCACCAGCCCGGCGGGCTCTGCCTCCTGCTGCTGCTGCTCTGCCAGTTCATGGAGGACCGCAGCGCCCAGGGTAAGCGAGGCGGGATGCGCGGGGCTCGGCCGGGGCAGGGGCTCCTACTTTTCCACCGTCTGCACGGAGTCTGCTCGGAGCGACGCAGCTCTCAGAAGACGAGCAGACCAACTTGGCGACTCCAGGATGGAGAGCCGTGGGGGACTGGAGGCAGGGACGCTTTGGGAGCCGAGTTTGGAGCGCGCTTGTCCTTAAAAAGGAAAGGGAGTGAGTGAGGCGAGGTGCCTGCCACTCGGTAGTTCGGGTCAGATGCTCCAAGTTCCGGACATCAGGGGAGCAGGCGTTATCTTTCGGGTCTGGCTCTGAAGAAGGGGACAAGCATCAGTAACGTGGCCATTGAAGTCACCCCGTGTGCAGTTTTACCTCTTTCCCTCCCACATCTTTTAGGTAGTTTGTGAAAAATGACCAGTGGCAGGGGCGGTGGGGGGTGTGGGGTGCGAGATACTGAAATTTCTTCGGTGGCTAGGGGACATGTTTTCAGAAACTTTGCCCAAACTTGGAAATGTGGATGCTGGAAATTTTCGAGGGAAGTAGCTTTCTGCCGAGTGAATGCTTCCTCGAACCCCATCCCCCGAACCCTGAAAGAAAAAAGACCCAAATTTCGAGGCCGGAGTGTTTTGTGTAGTTTACAGTCCCCCCCCCCCCCCCGACCCTTTCCTCCGACTGTTAACTGTATGCAGAAAGGTAAGGAACCTACAACTGAGTTTAAGTCCTGAGGTGCATAGAAAGAAAATTTCTAAAGTTTTTTTTTAATTAGGTTTGTTTATTTTAGTTAGTCTTTGAGCAGATTTTAGAAGAAATAGTAATAGCAGCGTATGGTCCAGTTTTAGTTAAAGTTGTGCGGATGATTCATGAGAAGTCCGTAGGAACCCGATCCGAACGTTAAAAGGGGGGAAATTGCTTGCGGAGATTTCTTGGTAGGTAGGGGACCGGTGCGTGTCACCGGGAAATGGTACGGAGCCTCCCCCTCTTCCCCTGCACTTTTCTGGAGACGGACTGTGACCGTCCCGCTTGGAAACCCCCGCTGCCTGCCGCCCGCCGCCCGCCCCGCTCCTTCTCCCGAGTTGCCCGCCTCCGGGGCGAGGCTTGCGGGACGCCCGGGACGTGGGCGCCGCGGAGGGCAGCCCTGGCATATTTCGAAAGACCGCGGTGGCCGCGGGCGTCCCCCGGGCTGGGCGGATTGCAAAACGGGCCCGTCGGGCGGGCTGCGCCGAGAGGCCGGGCTGCGCCCCGAGGCCGGGCAGGACGGGGCTGCCTGTTTGCTTTCATTTTTCACAAGTGCCTTTGGCTCCCGCGTGCTGTGTGTGTCTCTGCCCCGCACTCTTTCCCTGTCTTTCCCAAGTTCTTTTACTTTCTTAACCCCTGTCACGAATAATACCCACTCCGCCCACGTGAAACCAACATGTGAAAACATACGTCCCGTCCTGTTTTTGTCAAGTTCTGAAATCGGCTCTTCGAGTCGCTGCAGGTTATGGAGCGGGACGAATAAAAGCAAACAGTCTAGTAAAAGTCAGCGCGGGCTGCACGTGCTGTGTCTGGGTCGCTGGTCACTGACAGGGAGGCGGCTGGGGGCCCGCGGCGGCCGCCCCCTCCCTCGCCCACCACCCAGCTCTCCGGGCCGGGCCTCCCCGCCCTTCCCACTGCCCTCCATATGTTCTCTGCTGGTCCCCGTCCCCTGCCCCTCCACGCCGCGCCCGCCCGCCCCGGCCTGCTCGCCGCCCCCGCCCCGCGGCGCTCACCCACCTCCCACCCGTCTCCTCGCAGCTGGGAATTGCTGGCTCCGCCAAGCCAAAAACGGCCGCTGCCAGGTCCTGTACAAGACCGAGCTGAGCAAGGAGGAATGCTGCAGCACCGGCCGCCTGAGCACCTCGTGGACCGAGGAGGACGTCAATGATAACACGCTCTTCAAGTGGATGATTTTCAACGGGGGCGCCCCCAACTGCATCCCCTGTCAAGGTGGGACTCTTCCCCCCCGGAGCTGCAGGCCGGCCCGCAGTAGAGGGCGTCTCACCCTCCGTGTCCCCACTGCCCAGCTCTGCACCCGGGTGCCGCTCCTCCCCCGGCCCCGGGAAGCCGGAAAGCCCTCGGGTGGAGTGTTGCCTGTTACGAACTTTACCCAAAACAAGGCCGACTGCTCAGCCTAGTACGGGGGTGAAGCCAGCCACCCCAGGCTCGTGGAGAGAGACCTGGGAATGAGGCGAGGCCCCCTGTCGCTCCCTTCCTCTGGCCCCTCCTCGACTTCTGGGAGAGCGCCTGGGCCCCTCGGGCGCCTCTGCGCCATTGCGCAAGCGCCCCCACGCCGCCCCCTCCCCCCACCCCCTGCAGCCGTCCTGCTGACCCGCATCCTGCCTGGCCCAGGTTTAATCCTTGCCTCTTTCCAACTGGTAGAAACGTGTGAAAACGTAGACTGTGGCCCCGGGAGAAAATGCCGGATGAACAAGAAAAACAAACCCCGCTGTGTCTGCGCCCCTGACTGCTCCAACATCACCTGGAAAGGCCCGGTCTGCGGACTGGACGGGAAAACCTACCGCAATGAGTGTGCACTCCTCAAGGCCAGGTGCAAAGAGCAGCCGGAGCTGGAAGTCCAGTACCAGGGCAAGTGTAAAAGTAGGTAGACCCACCGGACGGCCCCCGGGGGACGGGGGGGGGGAGGGGGAGGGCCACGGGAGGGGCCCAGTGATAATAGTAGTGACACTGAATAAGGGACCCCTTTTCTAACTTCGGAAGACTCCTTAAGACCACAGAAGGGACCAACCTGGAGCCATAAATTTCCTCTGGAAAACCACAGCTCGCCCCAAATGCCTTTCGAAAGCTGGTCTTTTTCGTCTCTTGTTTTCCTAAGTGATTTCACATTCTCATTCTCCGAAGACCAGAAGGTGCCTAACTAACATGTGTCTCCCTCTTGGTTTCAGAGACCTGCCGCGACGTTCTCTGTCCGGGCAGCTCCACCTGCGTGGTGGACCAGACCAACAACGCCTACTGTGTGACGTGTAACCGGATCTGCCCCGAGCCCGCCTCCTCGGAGCAGCATCTCTGTGGCAACGACGGCGTGACCTACTCCAGTGCCTGCCACCTGCGCAAGGCCACCTGCCTGCTGGGCAGATCCATTGGATTAGCCTACGAGGGAAAGTGTGTCCGTAGGTATTCCCGAGAAAGGAACAAAAAGAGAGACTAGGGGTGAAAAGCCTAGTTCCAGCGTTAAAACTGTGGGGCACACCCGTAAAGAGGGCTTCAGAGCGCCCCCCCGCAAATGCCAAGCCCCACCACAGAGAGGACTGTCCCCAGTGACCACAGCTCCCCTCAGGAAGTGACTGTCGTCCAGCAGTGTCGGCTTGTGTGTTAAAATGCGGGCAAGACACAGGAGATGATTTTCTGTCTTAGAAAGCTTAGAACTCACCCAATTTTACACATTCTTTCTAAGTGCTAGACTTGCTGGAAGCAAGAGATAATGACTTAACAGTTCTTAAAACCTGTCATTAGATTCTGATAACCGATGGAATTCTTTCTTTTTTGAAGATCCCCATGGTGGGAAATCATCAAATACAGGTTTCCCTGGAGGATGCTGGGAGCCCGTTCCAACAGATGCTGTGTTCATGCACAAATGTAGTGTGCGGGCAACTGTGGGGATTTGTGTGTGTGTGTTTCAGTTTTGTTTTCAAGCCTTTTTGCCTGGTGGCTCCATGGCCCCCCTGAGTGCAAGCTGCCAGTTACACGTTTATATTTCTTGGTAGGGGAGTAGAGGAAGGTGGAAAGGGGGGCCGTGTCCCCCTAATCACAGGTGTATTATATCCTAGAAGCAAAGTCCTGTGAAGACATCCAGTGCGGCGGCGGGAAAAAGTGTCTGTGGGACTTCAAGGTGGGCCGAGGCCGGTGCTCCCCGTGTGGTGAGCTGTGCCCCGAGGGCAAGTCCGAGGAGCCCGTCTGCGCCAGTGACAACGCCACCTATGCCAGCGAGTGCGCCATGAGGGAAGCGGCCTGCTCCTCCGGCGTGCTCCTGGAAGTGAAGCACTCCGGATCCTGCAACTGTAAGTGCCGGTGCGCCCTGCTGCGAGGGAAGGCTGCCCCGGGGAAGGCCCCCAGGGAGCGGGGACGGCCCCGCCCTCAGGCCACTCCCTCCCGTGGACGTGAACGAGCTGCTTGATTTCACCAGCAATTCCCTGGTCCACGGAAAAATCCCCGGAATGTTTTGCTGGCTTTCCACACTTGCCCAATGATCACCAGTGGGGTGGCTTCTCAAGACCTGTTTCCAAGTCGTTGGTCCCCCTAATGCCTTCGCTTTGCCAGTGTGCTTTGCTGTTTGCCTATTAACGTTTGAGTCTCAACTAACTGCTTCAAAAGTTGTGCTTTTCCCCCCTTTTCAAAGGCAGCTTTCTGTGATCACATGGGGCCGCTGCTTTTCGCAGTCGCCTCTCTACTAACTCTGCGGTAAGGACCCAAAGCGGTGATACCTAGAACACAAGAACGCTTTTTATCTGATTTCAGGAATCTGCCCGTAAAACCTGAGCCATTGATTCTTCAGAACTTTCTGCAGTTTTTGACTTCATAGATTATTTTTTTTAAGTTTTTAAAAACATTGCATAACAGCAGATGCCAAAAACCAAAAAAAAACAAAACAAAACAAAAAAGCATCTCACCGCAAGTCACATAAAAATGCAGCGCCGTCACATGGCGGTGTCAGAGGGCTTTGAGAACGAGCGCTGGGCTGCTTCCGCGCCGTCCTTGTCGCGTTTAAACAGCAGCTCCCCTGTGTTCCCCATCTAGCCATTTCGGAAGACACTGAGGAAGAGGAGGAAGATGAAGACCAGGACTACAGCTTCCCTATATCTTCCATTCTGGAGTGGTAAACCCTCCACCAGTGTTCAGTGTTGGCATAGCCTTTGGGCAAAAAAAAAAAAAAAAAGATAAAAAAAGGAAAGAAAAAAATATATATTGTCCATACTGTAAATAAGTGTATGCTTATTTATTTGGGGGGAAAACTATACGTAAAGGACCTTTGTCCTACAGCTCTCTCCCAGGCCACCTGTTGCCCGTTGGACAGGGAGAGGCAGCCCTGTGAGGTCCACTGGATGAGGGGCATAGTTGAGACATGTAGACCTTTATTTATACTGTGTCGTGTTTTATAATTTATACATAAAATGTCTGGTGGACTGTACACCTTGTTTTTGGAGAAATTTATTCGTGAAAGGAAGAGCAGTTGTTATTTATTGTGAGGTCTCTTGCTTGTAAAGTAAAAGCTTTTTTTTTTCCTTGTAAACCATTTAAGTCCATTCCTGACCGTCCACTCACACACCTGTCCCCTTCACTGTGCTGTTAGACCCTTCCCACCTGAACAGACTTGCATGTCAGTTTGTTGTGTTTATTTATCGGGTTCTCTGCAGCCTGGTCTGCACACACACGACCCCTCGGGTTTTGTTTACAAGGAACCTTGGCCGGCCAAAAGGCATCGCAGCTGACTCAGAAGGTACAGAGGGTGCAGCTCTGAGGGAACTCCTCCTTCGGTTCTCTAGTTGTGATGGAGGCCTTTGGGAGACGGGGTGGCAGCAGTGTCGGGGTTCCAGCGATGGACTTCTAAAGGTGACAGGTCCAAAGGGGTTGGGGGCCGTGTCGGCAGACTCAAGGAAGGGGTCCTGACACTCAGCCTTCTCTTAGGTGTTTCCTTTGGGCTGGTCTCCTGTACCTTTCCAAGTAGTTCCTTTTCAACCAATGCGTCACTCAAAGTTTTATCGGAGCTTTATCAGTTCAAGTTTCTTGCTTTTCATAATACTTTCTTCTGATGCAATTTTATATTTTCAAACATGGCAAGTTAAATATAAATTCATTTAAATATATAGTTTTGTACTTTTCTACCATGTAAATGTGCAATGTATATAAAAATTATAATGTGTATTTGTAAATACATGATGAGTGAAAAAATAAAAAAATTTTAAAAAGCCAGTGGTCTCAGCTGCTGTTGATGTCAAAGAAGTTATTTGGGCTTTGGGGTAAAAATGTCTAGACCTCATTTGCCGAGTCCCTGAAATTTAGTGGCCAGAACGGGAGACGCTCCAAAGCCTGGTGAGTTACAAATCGCCACCGTGGAGTCTGAAGGTACAGGGGTCAGAGTTCCAACGACCCCTTCGGAAGGACAGATGTTGGCCCCTGCCGAGGACCGAGCCTAAAGTTTGCTCTTTAGGAAGCCACCTTAGCCGTTCCGCACATCGTAGCCAGAGGCACCCTTCACTTTATCTAAATGAAGTGGATCTTAGATCTTGAAAACATGGCCTGTCACGAGGAAAGGTGAACACAGGCTCAGCACACTGCAGAAATCCGCACCCTCACAGAAGTAGGCCTCACAGTCCCCACAGCAGGGGCATGGTGAGGTGGGGGGGGGGGATTTGCACCACGGCGCCCAGGTTTGTCGGGGACAAAGAGTGACACTTGGGGAAGAAGAGGCTGGCAGTGTTCTGTAGTCAGTGTTGGGCAGCTGACTCACACGATGGGAGCCTCACATTGGCATCTGGGGCGTCCGTGGTCCTACGTTGCACCAAATCGTAATGACTGCGTAACACAAGTTTCCAGCTCACTGCATGCTCATTCCTTGACTGAGGATATTAAAAACGTCAGAAGAGCAAGAGGCAAAGGAGTGAGCATTGGGACTGGGAGGGAAAGCAAAGAACGGTCAGTGCAGCCAACGCCGTTAAGCAGTAACTATTAAAAATGACTGTAGGTCTCATTCCAAAAAGAAGTTTTTTCTTTCATTTAAAAAAAAAAAGACTAGAAGACTGTTGGCTCTCAGCTGTGGTCACCAAATGAGAAATTTGGAGACAGTTGGACCTGGGTAGGCAGAGCTCGTACCTGATGAGGAGCCATAGGGTTCCTGAGGAGGGAAGGGAGGCCCAGAGGTGCAGCCGCTGCCACCACCGGGAAGATGGGGGTCAGCCCTAGAAGAGCCCAGGCGCGGCTCGCTGGCTGCCGCTGGGGACAGGCTCCCGGGAGAGGAGAGGCAGCTGGCAGACACGTCTCATAGCCCTTCCCGAAGTGGATTTCGTACTTCGTGCTCTGTCCAGGGATGTTGCGCATGCTCCGGAGCTGCCATTGACAAGGAGGGTCAACAACACCCCAATTCGCCAGCACCGGTGTGTGTCTTGGCAAGACAGAGCGATAAAATCAAGAGCTTGCTTTTAAAACAGCATTTGGATTGTTTTAAAAAATCGTATCATGTTTGTCAGCAACAATCATGCCTCTCAAGAAAAACAACAACAACAAAAAAACATTTTCTTTCTTGGAGTGTCCTACTTTTCCAGTAATCCTGCACTGAGCTAATTAGTATCAAAGAACAGAAGTCTCCTAAAATTCAAATTATATTAATGTCATTAGGCCGTTAGAGTTTCAACTGTGACTCAGAAAAGTAACTCACTTAGGCATATAACGTGATTCCAGTAACTAGTTTTAATTACAATGACTACATCTTAACTACTAGGAATTTAAAAATATCAAGTAATAAAGAAAAATATCAGAAGTCCAGGGGAAGAGAGGGAGAGAAACATCTATCATTTACCTCTCACGGGTCCCCAACCGGGGCATGTGCCCTGACCAGGAATCAGACAGGTGACATTTTGCTTTGTGGGATGACACCCAACCAACTGAGCCACACCAGTCAGGAAAGATGTCTAGTTTTTATCAGCTTAAGATTTTTATATGCTCAATGGCTATGGTCCCCAGAGGATGGTAAAAATAAAATTTGGCATAATTAGAATCATTCTCAAAAGTCTTATAGTCATTCTCTTACAGCCTAATGCAGTAGCTGACCTTAGACTGGATTCTGTACCCTAGGGGGAAAATACTATCGATTGAAAACATCAGAATACTATTCATAGTTCAAAGTATTGTATCAATGTCAAGTTTACTGAAATTGATTACTGTAGTGTGCTCATGTAAGAGATTATTCTTACACTTTAAAAAATACATGCAGAAGTATTTAGAGAAAATGGCCAAAATGTATATAATTTACTCAGAAGTGATTTTTTTTAAATCCTCCCTTTAGGACCCGCTCACTGATTTTAGAGAGAGGAAAAGGGAGGGAGTGGAGGGAGAGAGAGAGAGAAAAAAAACAACATCCGTGTGTGGGAGAAACATCGACTGGTTAAAGCTCCGAGAAACACGGGAGGCTAAACCCCAAACCTAGGCATGTGCTCTGACCCGGAACCAAACCCACAACCCTCTGGTCTTCGGGACGATGCTCCAGTCCACTGAGCCCCACTGGCCGGACTCTGAAATGATGCAGAAAAGAAAGATACAGCTTTATATAGCTTTCCCCCCACATATATTCAGAAGGAGAGCACACCAATGATAAAAGAAGTGGAGTGGATGTAACAGCCAGGGAATTTGAATAAAAGGTAAATTTGAAATTGTATCCAAATAAAAAGTTTCAAATTTTAAAAAGTCATTCTCACAAAGTAGGAGTATACAGTAGACTGGTTGTCCTAGTCTCTAGGAGAATAAGGGAAATATCAGTCATTTAAAAAATCATTTGAATGACCAGAAGAAGACTCTGGAAAATAATTCCAGTGACTTTACCAAGGCTACTTGAAGAATCGAAATTGGCCCTGAGACTTCCTGACACCCAGACCATACCCGAACTGAGAAGTAGCCTTTTCTTTAGTGAAATAATCTCAAAATGTAGAGTGGTGAGTAGCTTTGCAAGACACTCCAAACACCCAGAAGCCCATCCCTCCCCGCTGCTTGCTGGGAATTACTTGGACGAGTAACGCCACCTCGCTGCGCCTATTTCCCCAGGTGTGCGACCAGGATGATGCCAGCCACAGCGCTGTTGTGAGGGTTCAGAGACCGAAGTCACGTGAAGTGCTCCGGTCAGTGCCTGGCACACAAAAAGTCAGTTGGTGAGCGTCTTCCAGGATTAGAGCAATTGCTGTTAACGGAAGAAATGGAGGTGGCACTGCGGCCCCTCAACCAGACCCCACCGTGAAAACGTGTGGATGAAGCACAAGTCTAAGTCATGTTTTTTAAATGGAAGGTAAACATAATGGCAAAGTATTTTAGCCATGTTAATAGTTAACAGAACTTCAGGAAGCTCTAACATGTTTAGATACAATACTTCTCCTGGAAACTTGGAAAAAATGTACTCACTCACCAACATTTCCAAAGCCACAAAATATGCCTTTTGTCCTTTTAGTCACCCAGCACCCAGCACCATTCCTGGTATTGAATTAAATCATTTTCCTTTCATTTTGATATGATTCCCTCCATGAGGAGGATGACAGTCTCCTAATGGCAGTAAGGAACTATTTCCAAACTATTAAAAGTCCTAATGCAAATGATACCACTGCCAGGAATTGAAAAATGATGCATCATTTATTTAATAACCTTGTTTATCAAAAAGCATTTTTCAAAACCTGGGTCCTAATTTGTTCTTCCCATCCCACTTTCCATTCCAATGAGCCTACAGCCAGCCTTCAGCCAGACATCGCCACGTAAATAGACTCCAGGCCTGCCTGCCCTGCGTCCTCCACAGGCCTGCCCGGACATGTCCAAATTCCCACTTCAACTGCGCTGGAATCCCCCCACGAGGATTGGATGGTCCTGGGCTTTGTCCTCCTTGGACCTCGGCTATCTTGGCTGGTGCCATCAAGATTCCTGTGGCTGAGTCCTTCAGACACTTCAAAACATACTCTCTGGATCACACCAAATGTAGCCCTGGCAGGGCTGTAATTTGTCATTTTTCTATTTTAAGACCATGGCCCAGGAACCAACTGGTACTGCAGGGGGACAGACACACTCCCACCCAAAGTCCCTTGAATCCTTGTCTCGAGGGACTCAGGTCTCTGGCTCAAGAACATGCTTGAGGGTTTCTGAGGAATTTGGGGCAAGCCGGAAATCAGGAACAGAGCTGCAATCCTGGGGAGAAAGAGGGGGCTCTTTGGCTGTTCTAGTTCCCAGAAGAGATATTGATAGATCTTTACCTTTTCCAGCACCAAAAAACTGTTGGGGTGATTTTATGGCCACGATGCATCCCATAAATGGTGGTGTTGGTGAAAGACCATGGACAGGCCGGTCCTAGAGTTTCTTGAGACTGCTGGAGGCTAATGGCCCGGTGACAGCACCCACAGAGGGATCAGATGATGCAAAAGGCTGGCAATACTGAGTTTCTGAGGGGACAGTCTTTGGTGGGGCTGGTGCCCCAGGAGAAGTAATCCACAGAGACTCCGGGCGGTTTATTCACTGGGGAGGCGGAGCCAGGGCCCAGTCAGTAAAACGCCCAGGTATGGACGGTAACAGTCAGTGCCTGGACCAGCTGGTGGCTTGTTAGAAATGCAAGCTCCTGAACACTACCCCAGAACCATTGAACCAAAATCACTGAGGGGAGGTCCCCAAAATCTGTTTCAGCAAGCACCCCAGGGAATTCTTAAGCACGCTAAAGTTTAAGACCTACTAGAATCATCTACTGAAAGACCTAGAGTCATTTCAAGCTCTGAGTGAGGCTTGGCTGCCTGATGTTCCAAAGCAACCAGAACACCTGCGCGTGGCTCTCTGGTAGCGCCCCGAGGGAGCCAGGTTCCTGCACGAAATCTGAACAGCACCCCAGCAGTATACTCGTGCTGGTGCAGGCCTATGGCCACAGTGTCACAGAGACATTTTTCCTAAGGCTGTTCCATCTGCTCGCCTTATCTGCTCGGAGACCTCCCCTGGCCGGGCTGTCTAGGAATGTGGATGTGCCTCCCACCCGTCCAGCCAGGCGTGCTGAGTGGTAGATTTCTCAAGACCAGATCTGACTCTGAATGGAGAATAGTGATATTCTAGCCCCGGTCTTCTCTTGAGCTGACACTTGGTCCACTTCGCCTCCCAGGGACGTGCCTGAAATTTCTCCCAGGAGACCTGCAGTGGCTTTCTAGAAGGGCACTTCAGCCGCTGCCCCTCATCC